GCAGGCCAAGCAGCATCAGAGGAGCAAGAAAGCTGACGTTTCGGGTAGAGACCCTTCTTCAGAAAAGGGTCTCGATCCTAAACGTCTGCTTTCCTGCTCCTCTGATGCTGCTTGGCCTGCTGTGTTCATCCAGCTCTACACCTTGTTATCTCAGATTCTCCAGCATCGACAGTTCCTATTATCTCTGATCTACAGTCTGCTCAGCTTTTCAATATGAAGATGTCTGATCTTGGGCTTTAAATCCACTTTCCTGTCCTCTCCTATAAATCTTCAATACCACCATCAAATTCTATCCATCCCATTGATGTGTTGAATGAAAAAAGGGGTCACCACCAGGATAAAAGCTCATTTTAAAATTGGTTTTCTGTAGTGTAGTCACTATAAAACAAATCATTAGAAAAAAAGTGCCCGCAATAGATTCAATGTATGTACACCTCACTTGCTGCCATTTACATACTTTTGTGGGTGAGGGGGAAAGAGAGAGAAAATAGGAAAAACTTCTTACCTATTCATAGTCTTCATTTACTCATCTCCCCAAGTCTATGACTGGACCACTTCACTGTTATCAGCAACAGATGACTGGACTCATAATTGCTAAGAAAAAGGATCCCAATTAATTTAATGGGGAACTTAGAGAGAAGCTGCAACTTTGCATGCATGAGTCGAACTTAATTTTGAAAATGCATTTCCACTTTTTTATCATTGTACAATGTTATCTTACTGAGGATTATGCTACACATCGACAAGTTATGAAGAAATACAGATTCACATACAAGTGTATTCCAAGATATTCTTTTCCCCTCCTGTTTCTTTATAGGTGCTGGTTAGATGCAGACATTTTGTAGAGAATGTTGCTTGTTGTAAAATGCACTACCTGTGATGTCATGAATGAGAACAATGGGATTGTTGCATTACTTCCCATTGATGCTGTCACTGAAGCAGAACTTTGTACAAGGGAAAGTTCTACTCAGAACCCTCTTACTCGTGAGAGGAACTCATCCATGGAAACTCCTGCAACAGTGCATCCAATGTCTAATGACTTCTCGACATATCAGAACCTCATAGCACAGGAGACCACGCAGACCAAGACATCTGTGACGCAGTTCTGCAAAATATCCAATATGCCCTATTTCACAGCACTGTACATTTTCTATTTTAGCTTGTATTCAATTCTCCTTTTGAAAGTTATTGAATCTGCTTTTGGAAAGCAGGGCTATTGTACTTGGTTAGTTAAAACAGGATACTTAGGTTCCGGGCTTACGCCCATTACTTTACTTACTGATTTGAGAAACTCACTGACCAATATTTCTTCAGTCACCTGTTCACAATGGAAACCACCAGGGCAGGGGCAATGCTACTGAACCCGAAGTCTAGAGCCTAGACTAAAGTTCTAGTAAACATGGGATTTTAAATCTCTTCTTGGCAACTGGGGAAGGTGAATCCAGTTAATTAACTAAGTCTGGAATAAAAAGTTAGCATCAGTTGTAAAAACACATCTGGCTCATTTATGAAATTTATGATATGCTTAGTTTTTGAGACCCGTCTTTAAAGTGGAGAGGAGTGAAGTATCATGTGACCTATTTCTGAATACTCCCCAACAAACGCAGGTGGCTTCATTACTAAAGGTTATGGGGACATTTTAGAATTATATTATAGAATTCCCACAGTGTGGAAGCAGGCCATTCGGCCCATTGAGTTCACACCAACCTTCCAAACAGCATCTCACCCAGAACCAACCCCCACCCTGTTCTTATAAGCCTGCATTTTCCATGGCTAATCCACCTAACCTGCATATTTGGAGTGTAGAAGGAAACCCACACAGACACTGGGTGAACGATCAAACTCCACAGAGACAGTCACCTGAGGGTGGAATTGAACCCGGGTCCCTGGCACTGTGAGGCAGCAGTGCTACCCACTGAGCCACCGTGCTGCCCAGAAATGTTACTACACACCTCTGGAGAAGGTGGGACTTGAACCCAAGTATCTTGGGTCTAGGGGCAGGGACACTAACACTGTGCCACAAGAGCCAAAAGTAACACCTGTATGAAATGGCAAAAGCAGTTGTGCTGTATTCTGTCTGGGTGTACTGTTAGTCTCAAAAGTCTCAGAGAGGCATTAGGAAAGTCATGTTTTCAAAACCATTATACTTTGAACCGTCTATATAATTCCAGGAGACAGAACAGAGTTAAGAATTTGAAGGATAGCTAATTAGTGTTTCTTCCAGGATCCAAGACCTAAGTCATTCACATGGTCAAGGAGATGGGCTCTGGGAAAGGAAGATAGTCCACAGCAATCCACTGTAGCATTGGGTTGCAGAGTTTCTAACACATCCATGAAACTCTCCCAATACCCAAGTCAGTCTGTAGTCAGAGTGACAGAATATATGATAGGCAGTTGTGGACATGAAGCAGAGAAAGTGTCAACTCTGTTACTTACTATGCAGCATGCAGGTGGGAACTTGCACTCCAATTGAAGAGGCACAGTCTTGTTGAGATTTAAAGGAGGCTGAAATAACTTACCTAGCTTGGGCTAAAGGGAGAGAATTGCCACAGTATCCCGAGAGTACAGAGTCAACTCTGGGATTAGACATTAGTTGCCTGGAAAAGGCAAAAAGGAGCAAGCCTTTGAGAATGAAGAATAATTTTAGACTGGTTTCTGGAAAGTAAATTGTTAAGGGGGAGTGCTATACAACTACAGCAGCGATTTTCAGCTGCGCTAAAACTTAAATGGAGTACCTCACCTCTGCATTTTAAGAGTATATGTTACTGACTAAATAGTGTTTATTCAGTTGTTGCTTTTTGATGCCATTCAATTCCCCTACAATGAAGACTGATGATATTTGTTCAACTTCTCTACCATTTCCAGGTTTCCCTATTCCCCAGCCTCATTCTTTAAGGGACCTATGTTCGCTGTGGCTTCAGGCTTTTTTATGTTTAAGAACCTCTGCCTGTCCATTTTTATACTACTTATTAGTTTATTCTCTATTCTTTTCCGATCATCTTTTGTTGGCTTCTGAAACTTTCCTGATTCTTTGGTAAAATTACTGGTAAAATCAAATTGAGAAAAGAAAACATTTAATTTAATTCTGTTCTTAACTTCCTTGCTATGCTTTGTCTATCCCTTTCCTGAAATCCATCTTCCTCACTGGCATTTATCTTTGTTGTGAGTCATGAAATATTTTCTTAAATATGATCCATTGTTCATTAACCATGTGTTCTGTTAAACTCCTTTCCCAATCAATTTAGCCAACTCTGTGCAATGACCCTTATTTACGTTCATCACAGTTCTGACCTATATTTCTCTCTCTCAAACTGAATGCTAAAACTCTATTACGTTCATAGATCATTTAATCCCTAGTGTGTGGAAACAGGCCCTTCAGCCCAACAAGTCCACAATGATCCTCAGAGCATCCCACCGAGACCCATCCCTCTATAACCCACCTAATCTACACATCCCTGAACACTATGGGCAATTTAGCATGGCCACTCTACCTAGCCTACACATCTGTGGACTGTGGGAGGAAACCCACGCAGATACGGGTAGAACATGCAAACTCCACACAGACAGTCGCCCGAGGGTGGAACTGAACCCAGGTTCCTGGCACTGACAGGCAACAGTGCTAACCACTGAGCCACTATGCCATTATGTTATGTACACTTTTCACTAGGATATCCTTTACTCTGGAGATCCTTTATTAAACCTGTCTTATTAAACATCATCAGATCAAAAACAGCCTGATCCCTTATAGGATCCACAACATAATGTTCTATGAAACCGTCTCAAATACACTCAATGAAACCTTTACCCTGGCTACCTCCGCCAATTTGGTTTTCCCAAAATACATGTAGTTTAAAATAACACATGATTCAAGTACTTTTTCTTTACATGGCCTCATTATCTATGGATATATTCTATGCTCTTTCACTTAACTATGGTTACAGGTTGACATATAAAACTACTCACGACAGTATCTTTTGGATATTTCTTACCTCAATCCATATAGATTTGGCAACTCCAATCCAAGATTATTTTGGTTTGTTTGTTACAGTAAAAATCTTCCTTGCACTTCAGAATTTTATGTTTCAGTGAAATTGCTTCTTATTTTTCTAAACACCAGCAAGAAATGATACATTATATTTAATTTCTTGTCAAATAATCCCTCACCCCAGCAACCAGTCTAATGGACATTCAATGCACCCCCATCTGAGACAAGTGTGCCCTTCCTTGGGTAAGGAGACCAGAACAGTATACAGTGAGGTTCCTAATCCTCAGTGTTCACCAGAGATTTTCTCTACTGCATTTGTGTGGAAGGCAGATAAGGACTCGATTAACTCAGCTTTCTATAGGTGGGAAACCGCTGCCAACACCACTTGCTGGTTGAGTTCACATGAGTAAGATTACCAGAGCAAAACTGAGTTCCACCAAACAGACAGACACAGTCAGGAGAAGGCAAGAAGAATTAATCAAAGTGAGAAACTGCCTTAACCATGCAACTAATAAACGTTGGTCTCTCCAACAGCATCTACACAATGCTTGAATACAATACACTTCTCACTAAGAATGGTAATTATCATTGGATTGTTGTCCATTATGTTTCTCTGACTACAAAGCAACGTAAGTCACATGAGCAGAGACAAACCATTCAGTCCTCCAACACTGCTCCAGCATTCGGTAAGATTATGTCTGATCAAGTTGTGGTCTCAACTGCACTTTCTCAACTAAACATCATACCCCCGACTCCCTTGTCTATCAAAAATCTATTTAATTCAACCTTGAATGAATTCAATGACCCAGCTTCTATTGAATTCAGCAAGAAAATTCACCATATAAGTTACTATCAGGGAGAAAAAAAAAGTGATTGCTTAGCCTTAAACCACCCCCCAGCAGCAGTCTGCTTTATGAGATGAAGCATTCTACTGATTTCCAGCCTATCAAGTCCTCACAAGATCTTAAACGTTTCAAAAAGATTTTGTTCTGTTCGACCCCAAAGGTCATAAGCTCAACCCGTTCAACCTTTCTTTGAAAGTCCTTACTGCACAGAAATAAGCTATTTAACCCCATCCTACAAGAACCTCCTCCCGTTTTTCCTTACACAATTGTTAGCACAAGCTTCTATTCCTCTCCCCCTCATTTGCATTCCATGAAATGCAATCATACTATTTGCCTCAAACAAACGTAGTTAGTTTCACTTCATCACCACAAAGGGACTGCTCCTGTATTTCCTTGATGACTTTCTTACATTTATGCTCAGGGCATGCTTGAATCAGAGGCCTTTGAGAAATACTTGAAGTGGAAGAAAATATGGGGCTATTGTGGGACAGCAGATTTAACTTGGGATTACTTATGCAAAGAGCCAGCACTGCCATGGTGGGCTCGCTGGCCTCCTACTGTGCAGTAAAATTGTACGGCTCTTTTTCTGATGATATCATTAGCGATTGTTGCAGCGGTGGTCACTACATGTATCACATTGAAGTCTACCAGAACTAATCCAGCTCCTGTCGGAGAAACAGAACTCACCATTTCAACTTTTGTTAAAGAGGGAAGCATTTGGGCTCCTTCTGTGACTTATTACAGCAACAATGGAAGATGAAGTCTGTCAGTGTGAGCTCCTAAAAATCAAAATAAAACATTTCTTAAATCATTAAATCAACATTGAGTACAACATTTCATTTAAAGTAATGCATAGAAATATCGATTTTAATTCTAGCACAAACAATAAATGGTGTAGACCATTCGGCCCCTGGAGCTCATTCGCCTTTTCACTCAGATCACAGCTGATCTTCTAACTTTAGTCTTGAATATACTCAATTGAGTGTCTACAGATCTCTGGAACTAACAATAGTATTCCTTCAAAATAAAATAAAAATATTTTAAATTTAGTATTCAGGATAAGGAGTTGATGGAGTGCAATTTTAAAAAAGAATTATGAATACCATATACAAACAGTAACTACTGAAAGCACACAGCAAATTAAACAAGACAATAACCAGCGGCCCTATCATTTTGCCCAGATAAAAGATCCCAAGAATTAAAAGGATCTACTCAATCACCTGGGTCAGGATTTACCCCCCCACTGGGCCATCAACTTTCCCTGGGAACTGCTACAAGATTAATGGACATGATTCACTTAACAGTTGCTCAGTTATTCAGAAGTTGAATATTTCTGTGAAGAGAGAGGTATGTGGTTCAGTCTTTTCCTCTTTCACTCATTAGGACAAACATTTCAAACAAATAATCTATCCTGCAAGTGACACTGTAAAACCCTTGAAAAGGTTACACCCTTACAAGAGACTAACTGGGTTTCTAACAGAGTCGTGGCTTCACAATTACTGCTAAACTCCTTCACTTTCTTTAGTGAAGCTAAGTTATATTTATAGAATGTCAAAATTCTTCCTCATGATAAAAGTTCTTTTTCTCCAAAGTTCTTCATCTTTATCTTTATCCAATCATAATAATTTATCTCATCATCTGAAGACATCCTTCACTATCATTTAAGTGCTATTACGATCCCGGACGGCTGTCTGTGAGAACATTAATAATATGACTGGCTGATAACCTGTTTCATATCTTCACTGCTGCCTGGAGATTCCCTTGACTTGGTGCCAGATTTAAACTGATATTGGAAGAGAGGAAATCCACACCACAGACCAAGCGAGCTGCCTTCTTCAAAGTTAGTGACTTTACCGTTGACCGCAAAACTCAAGCCAATGTAGATTTCCATTTGCACATTTTGTATTTTGTTAGCGGATAAACTTCTCCAATTTTTGTAAAAGCTGCTTTTGTTCACTTCCCAACTGTGAGATATACATATTCCCAGAATTTGTCTACATTTCAGGCAGTTTTTTCCAAAATGAATTCCCAGTTATCAAATTATGCCAATAGATCATCAAATTAACATTCAACCATCATCATACAGCACAGAAACAAGCCATTCAGCTCAAAAGGTCCTTGTCATTTTTTATACTCCACACCAGCCTCTTACCATCCTTTTTCTCTAAGTTTATCAGTGTCCCCTGTATTCCTTTCTCCCTCATACATTTATCCAAATTCTCCTTAACTGCAGGCCCACTATTTACTTTAGCTACTTTCTGTGGTAACAAGTCACACCCTCACTCTGGTTAAAGTTTATCCTGAATTTCCCACTGGATTTTTTAGTACCTATCCTGTATTCATGACCAGAATAAATGGAGCCTTCATAACAGCAGAGACAGCCACACTACATGTATTCTTTTACAAACATATATGCAATTTAAAAAAAAATTTAAGTTTCAATCACATCTTCCCCCTTTCAAGGGCAGAGAGGCACAGCCTGTCTAGCTTTTCCCTCATAAGTATGTCAGTTTTGATATCATGCTACTACATAAATGTGCATCATTGCTATAACCTTGTAAAATTATATGATGACCAGAGTTGCTCACAACATCTGTGGTCTAACCACAGTTCCACACTACCTTATGCTAGTTCTCTAGTTTTCAATTCTATTTCTGTAGAGCTTTCAATGAGTTGTCCATCTGAATCTTAGACCCTTCTGTGTCTGTACTTCCCTTTAAGATACGTAGCTCCCAGAGAGTATGTGGACTCTATACATCCTACGAAAATGTACCACCTCACATGTATCTGTAATTCAGATTAACGATATGATCCAGTCCAAGTATCATCTGCAGACAATTAGGTTAACCGTGATTAAAACGGTTTCTACCTCTACTTAGTCAGTAATCAATTCCCAAATGTTAAAATTAATCAAGCAAACTATGTTAAATACCTGTGTGGATGGTGTCCTGGGTGACCAAATTCTAATCATAATTCCCATTCTTTTGAAATGGTACTCATTTGTTTATCTCACTTATCCAACTACACAGTTTGAAAAGAAACAAAGATGAATGTGTTTCCATTTGCCTCTCTCTCTCTTTAGGTTCTTAAGAATCAAAGCTGGGGCAAGAAACTTGAACAAATCTTTTTGATTTGAGCAGAGTGTTTGGATCAATTAGTAAACAAGATTTTAGTGCAAGTAACTAGTTTGTCCCAGATCAGAACTGGCTGACTGTAAAGAAAAAAAAAAGAAAAATTACGACCATTATGGTACTAGATTGTACACATTATCAACCACTGCCAGGTCTAAACTTGTCAAGAGCACATTAAACCTTCCCACCACAGAAAATGATTTCTGAGACATGTTTAGCCTTTGTGCTGGAGAGAATAAAGGCTCCAAATTGTCTGAGCAACAATGGGCAAAAACTGCTATTTTATGGCAAGTGGGGTTTTATTTGCACGAGCATCTATTATCATTAAGAGGCCTGAGCACTGGGGGGGGGGCGGGGGGAAGAGCGGCGGCACAGAGTTAGAGAGAGCGAGGGCGAGTGCAAGAGAGCCTGAGGTAGGGTGCAAGCGAAGGGTAGATAGTGAGAGAGAGAGAGAGAGAGAGAGAGAGAGAGAGAGAGAG